GGATATCTCTGGTGATAAATCTGTCTGGCTTGCTTACCATTACCGTCGGCAAGGCCATATACGTAATGCATTTCCCGCCATTTCTGCATTTGAATAATTCACCATTTTTAATAAGATTGTAAAAACTGAATAATGAAAAATTGTCACAGCGAACGGATTCTAATAACAGAGACTTGTCAGATGTCAAAAGACAGTGACATATTAGAGAGAAACTAGGTATTTATTGCTAAATTGCATTCTTCAATTATTACATTAATTTTCTCGGACAATAGAACGGTTTTTATCTTTTTACTCAAAAATGGCGCATCGAAGGAAAACAATTCAAGACAAATCATTTGTTAATTTTCATTTGGTAAAAAACCTTTGGCGTACCATTTTATTCTTAAAAAATATCGAAGTCAATACCCGTAGACACGCCAGTGTTACAGCTAAAAATTATTTTTGCATTGAAAAATTCACAACTTTATTAACCCCCACTACGTACTGAATATCAGTGGAATATCTTAAGCAGTTCTGAAAATATTAATTAATTTCCATTTTTTTCCTAAAACACCTCGAGCTTTTGTAAGGAAACATTTTTGGACCATAGTTTATAAAACAAACTAACATTAATTTTTCATGTAGATTCACACCCTTAAATATTCGCATATCATTAAGGAACACCCTGCATAGGGTGTCGCATCGGGAACTCCATCGATAGATTTCTCGAAATGTAGGCTTATGATATTTTTAAGTTTTAATGTTTGATGTGATAAACTTACAAAAATAAGGGGTTTTCATTTGAAAAAAATCGACATTTGACAATGTTTGACATGCAATTTTTATACTAACTTTATATCCCTGTTTACCAGAAAATCAATCCACATTAAACAATAAGGTGTTCTCCTTAGGGGACATGAACAATTATTTCAGAGCCTGCAAACGTCATTTTTTACATAAAATTTGAAATATGTCAAAAAACGGTTAGACTTGGGTATAGGGGATTATATATGAAATGTGAGTAGAATCCAAATATTGAGTAATATACAGGGTGTTCTACTTAAAAAAGCAAGTTAGCATCAACTTCCGGTATAACCGGAAGTGAAACCATCTTGAAAATATTTTAGCTTTTTTCCCCATGATGATGAGTTCCCGATGCGACACCCTGTATTATTCTCTAAGTTGTGAAAAAGTTAGATAATGCTTTAGATGTCTTATTCAGAGTGTTTCAAATTTGTCTCTCACCATTGGGATCTCGGAAACTGTACGAGATACGAAGTCGCTTAAATAAGGGAAAAGCTGCAACTTGAGTAATCAACAAAATGCCGCTTAGAAAGTTTCGAAATTCAATGTACTAACAAGACGGAAAAAACCGAATTATATAAAAATCGATTTAATTTTTTCCTGAATTTAATTGCACTGGAATTTCAAAACCGATTGTACATCAACATTTTCACTTTGTCTCCTCTATAGTATGACATAATTAGAATTACAGTATGACGTTTCGTCTCTTGACCTCCAGCATCAACCTTATTTCTTTTTATGCACGCCATATTGAATTCTTAAGCAGATAAATGGAGCTTTTTATTCCGATTTCAAAATGTATCATATGTTATACGAGGGATGCCTTTTAAGTTTTGCATATCGAAACATAGTGGGCCGCGCGGCTCGAACGTCACTGAATCTTCACCTCACTCTTTAGTAAACTTAAATTCAAAGTTTCACAACATTATGTGCAGTGTTCTCACTACAGCGAATTTTTAAGTGTCACCAAGTGACTAGAAAAATGGAACTCAACCGAGAACATTTGCGCCATAATTTATTACAACTTTCAGAGACAATTATCGCAACAAGAATGCCTTGCTGAGTTACTGTCTGTTTTCGGCAACGAAGCGTCACATCAGTCGACTATTTCCCGTTGGTATGGAGAATTCAAACCTGAACGGTGAGTCTTAGCGACGATCCCAGGGTGGGTGCACCAAAAACTGCAGTCACCCAGGAAAACGTCGATGCTGTGCGCAAACTCATCATTGAAGATAGACATGTGACATATCGCGAGATTGAGGTGTCCTTGAAGATCTCAAAGACCTCAGTTCAAAGAATTTTGCATGAAGAATTAGGAGTAAGAAAATTAGGTTCCCGTTGGATACCCCACCTGTTGACTGAAGAGCAGAAAGCAGCCAGGGTTAATTGGTGTCAAAGAACGCTTGACTGGTTCAATTCCGGAAACTCAAAAAATGTGTACAGTATTGTTAGTGGTGATGAATCGTGGACTTACTGTTATGAACCAGAAAAACGACAGTCGGGTGTTTGGGTGTTCCAAGGTGAAGAACAGCCAACAAAAGTCATCCGTTCTCGAAGTGTTTCGAAAAAGATGGTCGCGGCATTTGTGTTCAAAGCGGGTCATATTGCAACAATTCCTCTCAGTGAGCAAATAACTGTTACTGCGGATTGGTATACCACCATCTGTTTGCCAAAATTCATCACCGAGCTTCGAAAAATCAACCCCGAAAGAAGAATCACCCTCCACCAAGACAATGCAAGCTCGCGCACAGCCCAAAAAACAGGGCAGTATTTAACGGAAGAAAACGTGGAATTATTGGACCATCCTCCATATTGTACCTATCTCAGTCCTAACGATCTCTTTAATTTCCCGAAAATTAAAAACAGACTGCGTGGTCAAAGGTTCCAGTCACCAGAAGAAGCAGTTGAGGCATTCAAAAATGCCGTTTTGGATCTGCCAGCAAACGAGTGGAATAAGTGCTTCGAAAATTGGTTCGAGAGCATGCAAACAATAAAGTCATTTAAAACTACCTACCGTATTGTTTTATTTCCATATGCATAACTTAAAAGACATCCCTCGTACAATGACAGTGCTAACCTTTAGTTATTCCAGAAAAACAGAATTTCCTAGGTAGGCGTTGAAATTATCAGATTTCATTTGTTTCGTATACCAGACCAGACCTCAAATTGAACATATCAACAGAGTTTGAAACACTGAAAAGAGGATAACCAATCGAGCAGTGGACGATGTACAAAGAAGAATCAGGCTTTGGCTACAAAATAACGGACATTTTGAATATCTGCTATGATTGACCTCTGTTTATTTATGATTATTATTATTAATAAAATTCTCATGTTGTGTTCAGGTTTCACCATACCTTTTTATATCCTTATAATTTTCACCCGTCAAACATATTCATGTCCAACTAGGGAACTACATCACTGAATTTAGGACTGAAAGGTCCATTTAAATGTACAAAATTCCACTATAGTGTCCATATGCAAAAACAAAAATGTCGATGAAAGTCGAATTGAAAATCTGACTAAGCCATCTTGTACAGGAGAATAAGTAACAATGATAACATGCAATTTATTTTTAAATTGCATCTCAAATAAAGTAAGGAATAAATAAAAGTAATTTTAGGATAAATCTGCGAAGCGAAGCAACTGAATGATAATTTCAAAGTCAACCTGGAAAATTCAGCTTTTTTTTAAATAACTAATGCCTGGCAATGTCAATGTATGACGTATAATACATTTTTTAGATCTGAGTTAAAAACTCATTTGTGCAAAAATTCGACGTCCATAGGCAAAAATAAAGTTGATGCCGTTAATTTGAAATTTTAATTATAACATCTTCTAGAGGAAAGTGGCTACAAATGAAGAAACGAAAAAATTAAAACGATTTTAGGAAAATTCAGTTTTTTACGTCTATCTTCAAAAGCACTTTGAATTTTGCAACTTTCTAAGAGGTATTTTGTTGATTACCTAAATACGCAACTATGTCTCTATTTAAGCGACTTCGTATCTCATATAGTTTGTTAAATCCCAATGGTGATGGTAGAATTTGAAACACCCTGTATATGCTCATTCTACTTTATGTGTTCAAATATTATGCCTAAATATTTACTGCTTTCTTTCCTTTTTATTTCTTTTCGAACATTCCCTGCTGATATTTTGAGGAGATTATATGACAGTGATAACTTAGTTTGACGAGAATCACACAAAATAAGTTTTTTCGTAATTTACTGTTAATAATCGAGATTTCAACCATTTGACAATATTTCAATTCAATTTAATGGACTTTATTGTAACACATACATAAATATGTATCCTTATAAATGGCGAAGTCTGGCCAATGGCCATTTATACTTAACCATAAATGTCATGTCAATGCTTATTATTACCTTAAAAATAAAATAAAAAAACTGAAAAAGAAAAGGAAAAAGAAGAATAATAGTAAAAGAAGAATGAATAAATATGACATAATGCGTACGATTAGGACAAAAAGCATAATACGTACGATTCAAAGAGAAGACAATAACCTAAGAGCTCAATAAGTAGTTCTTATATTTTTTTTAGAAAAGTTGCTGATGAAACATTGTTCGAAAGAGTTGATCAATTTCACCGCATTATACGTAAAAGACCGTTGAAAAATGGCTGTCCTATGTTGTGGCATTGTCAGGAGATTAATGTTGCGCGTATTCAAAGTGTGAATTAAATTCCTACGAACAAGCTTTTGCATAACATAAACCGGAACAGAAGTTTTTAATATTTTTACGACAAATGTAACAAAGTTGTATTCGAAAAGATCAGAAATTTTCAACCAATTCATTGAAGATATTGAGTGAGAAACATGATCGTACGTTCTTAAATTGTTAATGTATATATGATAGGTTTTTTCACTGTCACACTTTAATTTGGAAAATAATTTGAAAGGGACTTCCGAATAGGGAAACTTTCGAAACGCTATAAAATGCGCAACTTTTCCCGATGTTATCCGACTGTCTATCTCTTGCAATTTCTGAAAACCCAATTCTGATAGTCGAATTTGAAACACCCGGTATAAGCGCGTAACTTGAAAATTGGTATATCAATTACTAAAATTAACTTTCAACGTGTTTTTTTAATTGGTATCTTATATTCTGGCCGGCAACATCTATTGCGCAAAAATACAATTATTATTCTACCAGAACAATCAAAATCAATTTCTCCAGTTCGCTTTGAAGATTACACACCTGCGTTATTTTGGAGGCTCGCCTCACATGCCATCGCGCCTGCTTGCAATCCTTATTTTTAGCGACGATCTCGCGGCGGTAACATTTGCGAAGAGTACCAAGTATCACCAATGCAGTACCACCTCTTTGCACTTCCCGTTCGGAACTGACCACCAAGCCGCACTTCGCTGACACTGCTTCCTAGCGTTCGTCGCGTGAATTCAACAATAACAACAAACTGCTAGGCGACAATTGGAGATAAACCTGCATTTTTTATCGCTGCCCAGTTAGGCGAAATTGATAGCGGGCCGCGACGACTGCCTGACATTATTGTGCTGTGAGATGCTAAGCTAGTGAGAAGGCTGGGTTTATGGGACACGCAGTGGCGTAGAACGTTTGAATTATGTAGGGCATCGCATTGTTTGAGTTGACCATATAGGCAGTGGAACGGCGCGTGTTGTGACTACGTTTCTAGGGTCGGATGTAGAAAATATTTATGAGGAGATGTTAGGCTAGTGAGAAGCCTGGGGGCTTGATTCTAAATGAGTTAATATATCGTCACAAGGCGCCATCGAAATGAATTTCAACGGTCGAAACTCATTTAGAATCAAGCCCCATGTTCATGAGACACGAAGTGGCGTAGAGCGGGGGATGGCATTGTTTCAGTTGACCATACAGGCAGTGGAACGGCGGGTATCGCGAAGAGATTTCCAGGGTCGGACCTAGAAACATTTTTTTGGGGAGATGCTAAGCTAGTGAGTAGAATGGACTCATGGAACATGCAGTGGCGTAGATCGTTTGAATTAAGTATTGCATTGCTTGAGTTGACCATATAGGCAGTGGAATGGCGCGTATAGTGACGACGTTTCTAGTGCCGGATGTTGAAAATATTTTTGAGATGTCAAGCTAGTGAGACGCCGAGGGGCTTGATTTTTAATGAGTCAGTGTACCGCCACAAGCCACCATCGAAATCAATTTCAACCATCGAAACTCATATAGTATCAAGCCCCATGTTTATGAGACACGCCGTGGCGTAGAGCGTTTGAATTATGCGGGGCATCGCATTGTTTAAGTTGACCATATGGGCAGGGAAACGGCGGGTATCGCGAAGATATTGCCAGGGTCGGACCTAGAAACAATTTTTTGGGGAGATGCTAGGCTAGTGAGTAGAATGGGCTTATGGGACACGCAGTGGCGTAGATCGTTTGAATTATGTAGGGCATCGCATTGTTTGTGTTGACCATAAATGAGTTAGTGTATCGCCACAAGGCGCCATCGAAATCAATTTCAACGGTCGAAACTCATATAGAATCAAGCCCCATGTTTATGGGACACGCAGTGGCGTAGATAGTTTGAATTATGTAGGGCATCGCATTGTTTGTGTTGACCATATAGGCAGTGGAACGGCGCGTATAGTGACGACGTGTCTAGGGCCGGATGTTGAAAATATTTTTGAGACGTCAAGCTAGTGAGAAGCCTGGGGGCTTGATTCGAAATGAGTTAGTATATCGTCACAAGGCGCCATCGAAATCAATTTCAACGGTCGAAACTCATTTAGAATCAAACCCCATGTTTATGAGACACGAAGTGGCGTAGAGCGTTTGAATTATGCGGGGGATCGCATCGTTTAAGTTGACCATACAGGCAGTGGAACGGCGGGTATCGCGAAGAGATTTCCAGGGTCGGACCTAGAAACATTTTTTCGGGGAGATGCTAGGCTAGTGAGTAGAATGGGCCTATGGGACACGCAGTGGCGTAGATAGTTTGAATTATGTAGGGCATCGCATTGGTTGTGTTGACCATATAGGCAGTGGAACGGTGCGTATAGTTACGACGTTTCTAGGGCCGGATGTAGAAAATATTTTTGAGATGTCAAGCTAGTGAGAAGCCTGGGGACTTGATTCTAAATGTGTTAGTATATCGTCACAAGGCGCCATCGAAATCAATTTCAACGGTCGAAACTCATTTAGAATCAAGCCCCATGTTTATGAGACACGAAGTGGCGTAGAGCGTTTGAATTGTGCGGGGGATCGCATTGTTTAAGTTGACCATACAGGCAGTGGAACGGCGGGTATCGCGAAGAGATTTTCATTGGCGTAGGTCGCTTGAATTATGTAGGGCGTTGCATTGTTTGTGTTGACCATATAGGCGGTGGAACGGCGCGTGTAGTGACTGCGTTTCTAGGGTCGGATGTAGAAAATATTTTTGAGGAGATGTCAGGCTAGTGAGAAGCCTGGGGGCTTGATTCTAAATGAGTTAGTCTACCGTCACAAGGCGCCATCGAAATCAATATCAACGGTCCAAACTCATTTGGAATCAAGCCCCATGTTTATGAGACACGAAGTGGCGTAGAGCGTTTGAATTATGCGGCGGATCGCATTGTTTAAGTTGACCATACAGGCAGTGGAACGGCGGGTATCGCGAAGAGATTTCCAGGGTCGGATCTAGAAACATTTCTTTGGGGAGATGCCAGGCTAGTGAGGAGAATGGAATCATGGAACACGCAGTAGCGTAGATCGTTTGAATTATGTATTGCATTGGTTGAGTTGACCATATAGGCAGTGGAATGGCACGTATAGTGACGAGGTTTCCAGGGTTGGATCTAGAAAATATTTTAGGAGAGATGCTAAGCTAGTGAGAAGACTGTGTTTATGGGACACGCAGAGAGTAGAATAATTGAATTATTTAGGGCATCGAATTGTTTGAGTTGACCATAAAGGCAGTGGAGCGGTGGGTATTCGGACGAGTTTCCAGGGCTCGACCTAGAAACATTTTTTGGGGAGATGGCAGGCTAGTGAGTCGAATGGGCTTATGGGTCACGCAGTGGCGTAGATCGCTTGAATTATTTAGGGCATTGCATTGTTTGAGTTGACCATATAGGCAGTGGAACGGCGGGTATAGTGACAAGTTTTCATGTCCAGATCTAGAAAATATGTATTTTTGGAAAGATGCCAAGCTAGTGAGAAGAATGGGTTCAGTGGACACGCGGTGGCGTTGAACGTTTGACTTATGTAGGGCATTGCATTGTTCGAGTTGACCATATAGGCAGTGGAACGGCGGGTATAGTGATGAATTTCCGGGCCGGATCTAGAAAATATTTTTGGGAAGCTCCAAGTTAGTGAGTAGAATGGGTTCATAGTACACGCGGTGGCGTTGAACGTTTGACCTATGTAGGGCATTGCATTGTTCGGGTTGACCATCTAGGCAGTGGAACGGCGGGTATAGTGACGAGTTTCCAGATCCGAATCTAGAAAATATTTTTGGCGAGATGCTAGTGAGCAGAATGGGTTCATAGTGGCGTAAACCGGTTGAGTTATATAGGTCATTGCATTGTTTGAGTTGACCATATAGGCAGTGGAACGGCGGCTGTAGTGGCGAGGTTTCCAGAGTCGGATCTAGAAATTTTTTTTTGGGAGATGCAACGCTAAAGAGTAGAAAGGGCTTATGGAATATGCAGTGGCATAGAACGTTTCAATTATAACATGTGGGGCATCGCATTGTTTGAGTTGACCATATAGGCAATGGAACGGCTTGTATAGTGATGAGGTTTGCAGGGTTGGATCTAGAAAATGTTTTTGAGAAGATGCCTAGCTGGTAAGCAGGATGGGCTTATGGGACACGCGTATAACGTTTGAATTATGAACGGCATCGCATCGTTCAAGTTAAGCATTTTGGCAGTGAAACTGCGGGTATAGTAACTCGCAGCGAGGCATCCGGTATCGTTAATATGGGTACCGGGGCACGCTGGGATAAGGGGCAATGAGACGGCGGACACTCTGGCGAAAACAGGATCAGCCAGCAAGCTCGTTGGTCCTGAGCCAGCTCTAAGAGTAACCGCGCATAAAGCTAGGAGGAAAATGGAGACGTGGGTTGCAAGACAACACTCTCAGAAATGGAGAAGTATCTCTAGACATCTCCGCCAGGCACGAGAGCTCATTGAAGGGCCCAGTGCTAAGGATGGACGCTTCTGCCTATCTCTGGGTAGAGCCAACCTAAGGTTGCTGGTGGGACTGTTGTCTGGCCATAACACGTTAAGGCGGCACCTGCACGTGATGGGGGTGGCTGAGGATCCCTTGTGCGAACGCTGCGGAGTAGAGGAAGAGACCTCGGCGCACGTTTTGTGTCGCTGTGAAGCTCTGAGCTACTATAGGCAGACTATACTGGGGTCCATTACTTTGGACCCTCAGGACGTAAAGGAGCTTGGACTCAAGGCGATTCTCAACTTCGCTAAAAGGGCGAGGCTTGTGATTTAAGTATTGTAGAGGTGCATAAGGGCCCGCTTAAGCGGCCTATGCACTGGCTCCTTATGGTGGCCGGGATGCCTCTAAAATTCAAGATTCATTCATTCATTCAACGAGGTTCCAGGGTCGGACCTAGAAAATATTTTTGGGATAATGCCAAGCTAGACAGCAGATATGGTTTATGGGACACGCAGTGGCGTAGAACGTTTGAGTTATGTAGAACATTACAGTGTTTGAGTTGATCATATAGGCAGTGGAACGGCGGCTGTGGTGGCGAGGTTTCCAGAGTCGGATCTAGCACATTTTTTTTTTGGGAGATGCAACGCTAATGAGTAGAATGGGCTTATGGAATATGCAGTGGCATAGAACGTTTGAATTATAATATGTGGGGCATCGCATTGTTTGAGTTGACCATATAGGCAATTGAACGGCGAGTATAGTGACGGGGTTTCGATGGTCGGATCTAGGAAATATTTAAATATGATAAATATTTATAGTGAGCAAAATGTGTTTATGGGACACGCGTATAACGATTGAATTATGCAAAGCATCGCATCGTTCGAGTTAACCATTTTGGTAGTGAAACTGCGGGGTATAGTGATGAGTTTCCAGGGTCAGACATAGAAAATATTTTTGGAGAGATGCCAAGCTAGTGAGCAGGATGAGTTAATGAGGCAAGCAGTGGCGTCGAATGTTTGAATGATGTATGGCTTCGCATAGTTTGATTTAATTATATAAACGTAGAAAATATTCTTGATGATACCCATATGATGATTTTAAATTGAAATGAGAAAAACCGTCATCAGATATTTATTGTCACTGAATTTACAATTAAACTAAAATACATTTTTTGATTTACATAAGAATTTTTAAAAATTCACAATTAACAGAATTGATCATGTTATATGGAGTATTATGAAAACCAAAGTAGTGAAGTAAAAAAATAATAAGTACAAAATAGCTTTTTATTAATAAACAAAAGTAAAACAATATGTTCTACGTTCTTACAAATCCACTTGTATATGAACTAGGCTTATACAACTTACAAGTAAACTCGATGATTCAGAAATCATAAATTTAACGTTAAATTAAACATTCTATCACTTTATAACGATCTCATAAAGATATTATCTTATTCAATAATATCTTTTGAGAGATTATAGTTATTGATTCTATAACATGAAACACTAGAACTTTACGTTACTTCTGTACGAATTATTTGGAATACTATTATTTCATTTCCTATGTAACGCACCTGTAGGTGTCCTTATTACTTATAATTTAGCCCTTAAAGTAACGACCTTGTCGATCTATATACATTTTTCACTGTTAATGTAACATCTGAAACTTATCCTGTGGTTTATATGTCGATAATCCCCATGCTTATCTGGCGTTTATAGTAAAGAAGATCTGTCGATACATGAGATTTTAATTGGCTATAAAAGTAATGGGGATTTTCCAGTTATCTATCATCCACAAATATTGTCCATATTCCAGTCCACGTTTTAGCCCACACTCTTTTTTACTAAAATAAATGAAAACACTATCGACTAGGAATTGGAGTAATTCATGAATGAATTCTAGCTTCGATTAATCTATTCTACCTGATGATATCCAACCATATACTGTATTTCGGCATCCAAAAAGGTGTCTGAGATACACCAGCTCCATCTATAAGATAGTAACAGAATACAAACATGAATGTAGAAATCTACAATGAAGAGATATAGAGTGTTTGGTTCTGCTACTGTCTCAAAGATAGCGATAAGATCTCCAATTTCTTTTGATGCCTCTCTAATGCTCATATTTTCATTTGGGTATCTTCATCAACGCATTCCGCTTGAAGATACTCAATTAAAATAGGCATTAGAAAGGCAAAAACGGGATGGAAGATCCTAGCGCCATCTATGAGAGATTTGCAGATCCAAAATTCTAACTCTTTTCACATTTTTTTTGTGTTCTGCTCCTGTCTCACAGATGGTGCTGATATATTTAAGATTACTTTTAGGATGCTGAAATATGATTGGCTATCCTCAGGTAGAATACGTTAATCACTCATTCTAGTATCATCTTCAACAACAATCTATACTTTATTGCAGTTGCGTGGTATGCCCCGCCTCTTGAGTATTATTATTAGCCGGGTCCTTGGGAGGTAGAGGGTAATCATTATCCGAGGTATTAAGAGGTTTTGCGATCGAGAGATCATCTGGACCTCCAGGTGACAGCTCCGTCGGGCTGGGCGAGCTGCGCATACTGTGCGAACTCCTACTGTCGTCTCCAGGGGAGCATTGACAGGGTGGCAAAGGTGGTAGACCGCCCCCGTGTAGTAAAGGGGCGGGTGGGTAGTCCGGAGGAAGTTTGTCGCCCGTAAGGTCGCTTCCGGAAGGTAGAGGACCTGGAGCACCTGGGCGACCTGCAAGAAATTGGTTTATCGATTAACGTATACTAAGTGACATATAAATCCGAACACCCAGTTTAAATGGTTTTATTTTAATAAAAGTTGGTGAATGTATTTATCTTACTGTAAATAACAAGTGAAAAAATTTTCAGCCTTATCAGTTGGACATTCCGGTTTTTATACTGCTTTTTTTTAATTCACTAACGCTCTAAAATGAATATTTCAGCCGCAGTAAAGAATCAACGTTGGCGGATTTTGGTTCTTGACATCCTTCACGATCGGTTACGATGCCTAGAGTATGGAGACCTGTACGATTTCGTCAACTTAGTGAGTTTGATAGGGGCCGTATAGTGGGACTTCGGGAAGCTGGACTGTCTTTTCGGGCAATTGCAGTTAGAGTGCAAAGAAGTGTAGACACTGTGGTTAGGTGTTGTCAGGCATGGCTTCGAGAAGGCCGTACGCAAAGAGCAAGGGGCACTGGACGCCGCCGTAGAACAACAGACTGTGAAGATTGCCGCCTAAGATTATTAGCCTTAAGGGACCGTTTCTCCACTACCAGGTCCATTGCAAATGAATGGTTTGCAGAACACTGAAGACCTATTGGCACGAGTAGTGTTTACCGACGAATGAGAAGTTTTGGCTTGTTTTCATACCGGCCACACTGGGTCCTCCCTTTAACTCGAGAACACCGACGTAATCGCCTTGAGTGGTGCAGACAACGGTCACTCTGGGATCAGGAATGGAAAAGTATTGTCTTTAGTGACGAGTCTCGATTTTGTTTAGTCATACACGATGGTCGTGCCAGGGTTAGAAGGCGACGTGATGAAAGGAGGAATCCACAGTTTTTTGTTGAAACACATGTTCATCACACTGTTGGAGTTATGGTTTGGGGTGCTATAGCTTATGGTTCCAGGACACCTTTAATCTTCATCAGAGGTAACATGAATGCGCAGCGTTATATCCACGAAGTTCTAGAACCCCATCTTTTACCCTATGTTGACACCCTGGCAGATCCAACTTTCCAACAAGATAATGCCCGACCACATGTTGCTAGAGTCACAATAGACTTCTTTCAACATAATGATGTCACATTGTTACCATGGCCACCAAGATCTCCCGACTTATCCCCAATTGAGCACGTGTGGGATATGATGGGTAGGAGATTGCTCAATTTGCAACGTCCTCCTCAGACTCTAGAAGCACTTCGAGAGGAGTTGGTGGTTGCCTGAAATGAGATACCACAGGAGGACATTGACCACCTGATCAGAAGCATGCCTAGGCGCGTTGGAGGATGCGTAGCACATCAGGGTGCATCCACACATTATTAAAGGTCAAAGGGCTTTACAGCAGTGCAATCAGTTTGAAATTTTTATCATTTACTTATTATGCTTCATTAAGTACTTATACAAAATTTTATTAAAATAAAACCATTTAAACTGGGTAACAAACAGGCTTATAGATATCCACCATCTACCCCGGAAAATATGAAGGAAAGGATTAAGGATGCTTTGCTGAATATAAGGGAAAACATGCTGAGGGATGTGCAACGGTCATTTATCCAAAGGCTAGGGCTGTGTATTCAACATGGTGGAGATATTTTCGAGCAGTTTTTGTAGACTTGGTCTTGAGTAGTGATAGTTGTTTGTTTATGATTTTGTTACAGTTGTTTTTCTCTATTACGCTGATTTATACTGTTCTGATTGTTATTAGTTTTTACGTAAAATCTGTACTCTTAGTGGCAATATGGAACTAGCCCAGTGTTTGTATTTGTTTCCATGGATGATGTGATTTTTTTTCCTTAATTTTGGTGTGTTGTTCTATTAAAAGTTTAATAACTGAAAATCTAGTGATTTTATCTGAATCAAACCTTTTACCAAAAAAAGCTTATAAAAATTGAATCCAAACTTGCACAAATATGCAGGGTGATGCATTTGAAATGTTTGAGAAAAAGTACAATTCGCGTTTTTGACCACCCTGTATGAGCAAATATAAAAATTCGAAAAAGTAAAAAATAAGGTAAAAGCTGAGGTGCCTTAGTTTTTTTTGTACAAAATTCAGCACTCCAAATTTCAAAATGGCGGAGTGAGGGGTTGGCGAAGTGGACGGTTTTTCTGGACAGAACACCTTACATCTCAGAAGCTAATTACCAAACCCGCATAGTCTGTTGTATTAATCTTCTTCTTTTGAATTGGTTTATCCAAATATGCAATAAAATTTGAGGCAACCTATTTAAGAAATAAAAGCTTTGATATGTAGGTCAAAATTGGGACACCCTGTATAATTCCTAATATTTTATAAATGAGCCCTCAAATGTCATGTATAACATGCCATAAATATATTTTCTCAAAATGTATTTGTTAATGTGTAATATTCCGTCCACAAATGGATAGGCCACCCTGTATATTATATGGAAGATATAGCATTTTGTAGATCTCTACGCCACTAGTGAGACTAAATAAGGATAAGTCATAATCGTTTTTTAAACACAGCTACGGGAGGATGGGATTATTCTTCTGATACCTACAGTATAGACGACTTTCAATGTTTCAAGTCCACCAACTTTGGCTTACTCTCAAAGGAAAACATGTCGCAGTGTTTTATATGAATCTTACTTCAAATATTCATACCAATGTTTCTCCAGGACTAGTCCCACAAAAATTTCTCATGAGAGGCAATGCGCAATGTACGTGAAACTGAATACCCGAGTGTTATGATTCATAAAAGACAGTGGCGTAGAAAATAATTTTCCTTTTCCTGTTATAGCGGTTAAAATTTCCGAACATCTAAACAATTGGTACATTGGAATATTTTTGTATGTACCTACTACCTATTATACAGCCAGAATCGTCAGACATCTAGCGGTCTCATGGCGACTGACATCTTCAAGATATATTTAAGCAAACATAACTGCAAGGGCAAGGCTTGCACTAAACAAGTTTTTTCGCCATGCTACTTACTTTCCAATATAGGTAATAGAAAGCTATTTTTGCATTTTTAGATTAGGATATCTCGGAAACTAGAGCTATTTGAGGGATTTAGGCTACGTTAAAAATCTTGTGTTCTCTGATGCCTAGCTTACACGGTCAATAAATATCACATTCCATGATAAATATTGACGGAACACAGTAATTACTGATCGTATGATATTCGCCTAATGGACTTTCTAGGTCACATAAATGAGATGGATTGCGTTTATAGCTTCGTTGGAAAACACGATGGTTCCAACACACGGACCAAAATGGATACGGACAAAGTGGGTAGTAGGATAGTTATTTTGCGGTCATAGTTCTGATATTATATACAACCTGCAAATGAAATATGAAAAATATCAAACAAAAAAAGAAGTATTGAAATCTCAATTCATTTGTGCGATTCAACAAAAGCTGCCTCTGCACTCGTGCTGCCAATAGCCATAGGTACGTTCAAAATTTTCAGGAAATGATTGTTGACTTGTCTACTAATGTAGAAACTAAGTTCTTAACCATTTGTGATATGCATTCACTTCTCGTGATATATGTGTCCGCTTTACCCGCGGGTCCAGGTAAAGTGTATAATTTGAATCTTTTTTTTGTAATCTGTGTATGACAGCTGCAACCAGCTAGAAATGATTGTTTGTTATTTGCAGAGGTATAAACAAGGATTGAACTCAGACATTTTTCACAAATCTCCATTCAAAGATTTTCCTGTTATAATAGCAAAGGGCTTAAGGTGTCGACTGGTGTCTTCCACCTAATAACAAAGACTCCTCAGGTCATACGATGAAAAGAATAATTCTCTTCTGATTTGCTTATAAACTCTGTGATATTCATAGCTGAATAATATATCGGAGCTGCTTTCCAGTTACTCAGAGTAATTCGGAGTAGCTCAGTAGTGCTCAGCTTATTCCCTTGAATTATTTCTAGAGCAGATGATGGCATATCCAAGGGCTGATGTAGGAATCTACCTAGGGAACATATTAAAAAATATCAGACTTGAAGCGTCTACCTAGGAGGGAGGGGTCTCGCCCCATCTAAATCCGCCAATAATCATGACACTCTCAAACCAAAATTCACTGGAAAGCAGCCCTGGTGATACGTTTGGGTCGATGATGTATGACGATTCACTGATGTTACATGTACTAACCTGGCAACATCAACTGTGGTGAGGTTATTCCTAGACATCTCATCCTCCACGCATCCTGTAGTAACTGCAGCCTTGCCTGCTTCCTCCATTTGGCTCTTCTATTTTGGAACCAGACCTTAAAATAAGTTAATACAGGATCACAGTTAATGGGATGGAAACGGAAGCATGCAATACATAACGCGTATATTCTCTACTTCGACAAAGTTGTATTTTTAATAGCTGATATACAGGGTGTTCCTTAATGATATGCAAATATTTAAGGGTGAAAAATTAATGTTGATTTGCTTTATAAATTATGGTCCAAAAATGTTTCCTTACAAAAACTCGGGGTTTTAGGAAAAAAATAGAAATTTATTAATATTTTCAGAACCGCTTCAGATATTTCACTGATCTTTAGTACTTAGTGAAAGTTAATAAAGTTGCATATTTTTGAATGCAGAAATAATTTTTAGCTTTAACAGTGGCATGCGTACGGGTATTGACTTCGATATTTTTTAAGAAAAAAATGGTACGCTTATGGTTTTTTGCAAATAAAAATTATTTTCCGATCTATTGTCTAACTTGTAAAATTATTATTAATTTAATTGGAAAAATTAAACACATCAGGGGTAATGAACAACAACAACTGACAACATAAACATAACATTAAAACCAACGAAATGATTACGAAAATTGTTTAAAATGACCCCCTTCACTTAGTACGCATGCTTCCGCCCTCCTTCTCATGTAATTGCGCACTCGTCGAAATATCCCTGGAGTGTTTTTTTATTCTATCACAAGCTGCAACCATTCTTTCTCTTAATTCCTCTACAGTGTTAATGAGACTTACTAGTGTCTTAAGGTAGCCTCACAAAAAGAAATCTAAACTGTTGAGGTCTGGGGACCTTGGTGGCCATTCTTGCGGCCCATCGCGGCCAATCCAACGATTTGGATAAACAGTTTGTAAATAATTACGAACCGCTGGTGCACCATCATGCATGTACCACATATTGTTTCTTATTACTAACGGAACATCGTCAAGCAGTAAAGACAACTGTTGTTGAAGAAAATTGAGGTAAGTCTGTCCGTCAAGTTGTCCTGGCAAGGAGAATGGGCCAATAATTCCTGCCCATACGTTGATCGAAAATTGGTACAGGAAATGGGTTTCGGCATAGGGATTTTCTTCTGCCCACAAATCATTATTGTGGAAATTCTGAATGGCAACTCGAGAAAAATTAGCTTCGTCCATGAACAGAATCATTGATTCAAATTGCGGATTTTGTGTAATTTTTTGAAGGTACCACTGACAAAAGGTCACACGCCTTAGAAGTAATGCCTGTACTCTTAAAATATGGTAAGGATATAACAAAAAATTCACTAAAATTCTCGAAAAAATTATTTAAGGGTATTTAAGGGTGTAGCGATTTTCCTCGTACTCGTTTCAGGATGTTCTTCGACTTCGTGCAGCACTGCTTCCTCAATTTCAGGTGTTCTCAGACGTGGAGGTCTACCTGCAGATGTTCCTTTTCGGAGAGAACCAATTTCAACAAAACGACGATGAATATTAGAAAAGGTTCGACTATCTGGCAAAGCACGATCGCGATATCTCTGGTCATAAATCCATCTGGATTGCTCACCATTACCGTCGGCAAGGCCATATACGTAATGCATTTCCCGCCATTTCTGCATTTGAATAATTCACAATTATTAACAAGATTGTAAAAACTAAATAATGAAAAAGATGTCACAGCGAACAGATTTGAATAACAGATACTTGTCAGATGTCAACCGCCAGTGACATATTCCAGAGAAACTAGATATTTATTGCTAAATTGCATTCTTCAATTATTACATTAATTTTCTCGGACAATAGAACGGTTTTTACTTTTTTACTCAAAAATGGCGCATCTAAGGAAAACAATTCAAGAGAGATTATGTGTTTTAAATTGAACGGGGAATTCAAAAATTTATTTTTATATTATATATATATACAGCCTTGGCCAAAAGTATTGAGCACGCTCGATATCTTTAAATTCTAGGGGACCATTAAGTTGGGAGAAATTCACACAATTTTTTCTAGCTTTATATGGCTTAGTATTGAAAGAAAATCAATATTTTGTGGTACCACCCTTCGCCTTAATCACGGCAGAAATTCTTTTAGGTAAAGATCGTACAAGTTTATTACATTCTTCGTAAGTTAAAGCGTTCCATTCCTCACGTAGACGGCGCTTCAGGTCTTCTTTATTCTTGAATGTATGATGCCTGATCTTGCGCTTCAATAAGCCCCACAAATGTTCAATCGGGTTCAAGTCTGGTGACTGGGCTGGCCAATCCAGAAGCTCGATGCAGTTTTCTCTGAACCAAGCCATTGTCCGTGCAGCTTTATGGCAAGGCGCATTGTCCTGCTGAAATTTGACGCCATTCATGTTGGTATCGCCATAAAGTGCAGTAAACGACGGCAAAAGAGCATTTTCGAGTACGTTTATGCACTTTGTGGCATCCATGCGACCCTCACACACGAACATTTCTCCCACTCCTGAAGCACTCATGCAGCCCCAGACCATTACGCTACCGCCACCATGTTTCAAAGTAGGCACCACACACTCCTGATTGAATTCTTCTCCTACTCGACGACGAACAAATGTCACACCAGATGTACCAAAAATCTGAAAAATGAAGAAATGTCATTAAGTAGTTGCTTAGTTGAATATTTTCTTCTTGTCATTTTGTTTCAAAAATTATTGTTACACCTCGTTACTGCATCAAATTAACCAACGTACCTCAAAGTTTGATTCGTCTGACCATACAATATTTGACCAATCCTCTTCAGTGAAGCTTTTGTATTTTAAAGCCCATTTATATCGAGCCTTTTTGTTTTTGTCTGAGAGCCATGGCTTCTTTCTAGGTTTGCGGCCATTTAGACCAACTTCTTGAAGCCTTCGGCGAACAGTTCGAGTAGAAATCGGTCTATTAATTTGCTCTGATAGTTCGGCAGCGAGGACCAAAGAAGTTTTTTTCCGATTTTTCAAAGATTCTCTCGTCAATATTCGGTCTTCGCGATCTGTAGTGATCCGTTTGCGGCCAGATCTAGGCCTATCTTTATGTGAACTGGTCTGAGAGAATCGCTGGATAGTGTATTGTACACATCGACGCGAGCACTTCACTGTTTTTGCAATGTCTACTTGGGACTTCCCTTGTTCATGGAGAACCTGTATTTTCGCACGTTTTTCAATGCTCAGTTCATTCGTTTTTGCCATATTACAAGAGTTGAACTCAGATTCTCGAAATAAAATCATCAATATTGCACTAAATCACTTGACTGTTCACAATGAGCGATAGCATCAAACTGATGAACACGCACTAAAAAGGTAAAACTGACTAGTCTCCAAAAAACTACGTATTTTAACGAAAGTAAGGAGATAAGAAATTATTTACAAACCGGTTTTGATACCTACAAATATTTGTATAACCATTAGTTTTTCTTTTCGTCTATCATTATAGCGTACGTGAAATATTTTCGGGGTGCTCAATACTTCTGGCCAAGGCTATATATATATATATATAACTTGAGACGTGGTCATTGTCGTCTAGACCAGTTAGGTGAAAAATTAAAGCTTCCGCCTTTTGTTGGGTACTTCGACAAAATTTAAGCAAAGAGGACTCTTTATACTTTTTTTAATTCTCTCTAGCTTTATATATATATATTTATATTTATATATATCAAAAAACCATTGGCGTACCATTTTTTTCTTAAAAATGTCGAAGTCAATACCCGTACCCACGCCACTGCTAAATCAAAAAATTATGTTTGCATTTAAAAATATGCAACTTCGTTAACTTCCACTACGTACTAAATATCAGTGAACTATCTGAAGCGGTTCTGAAAACATTAACTAATTTCCATTTTTTTCCTAAAACTTCAACACCCCGACTTTTTGTAAGCAAACATTTTTGGACCATAGTTTATAAATCAAACTAACATTAATTTATCATGTAGACTCACACCCTTAAATATTCGCATATCATTAAGGAACACCCTGTAGATTTCATCCGCTTTTCATTTTTTTATCCTCGCTTTCCGCTCACGAATTGGAGAAAACACATTTGAAATTTGTACATTGAAAAAGGACACATTTAGATTCGTTTTACGTCCCTCCGCAGGAATCAGCCAGTAAAATTTGATCTTTTTTGGTTCTCTCCATAGCTAAACAGTCAAATTCTAAGGACAAGTTGTGGAAAATGCCAGAACTTCTAACGTAACAGCTTTGTGATGAAATTTTATAAGCTTCAATGGCGACTACACCGTTATCTACTATATCGCCAGAATCGACGGCATCAAGTGGTCATAGTGAACTGTCGACGCGAACTGAGATACCTCTACAATCCTAATGAACTGCGGTTCGCTTTTGTAGAGGTCGATTCTGGTAAGAGATGCTACTTGTGCTGTGTTTATTTGATAGACTTGGAATGTACTGTTTAGATGCAAAATATGTATATTCCATGTGTACCAGTTGTCGGGAAACACGTGATCCAATGACTGAACAAACACAAAGACAAACATGCTAAAAGTTAGAACTCAGCTTTCTTGAAATACTCCAAGTGATGCGTTTAACTTCATTTTAAACTTCATTACAATCAATATAATGGGTTTCTTAAAGACTAGTAACTCAATTAGTAATTTCACTTTGAATCATTGTCAGACTCCACTGTAAAACACCACCTACTACTTTATAGACCAACTTCCACGGACTATTAAAATCCAAAATCATTCGTATTAAATTATAAGTTACAAATGAGTCCTCACCTGTACCCTAGCTTCCGAAAGGCTGATCCTAAGTGCAACTTCCTCCCTGAGGAAGACATCCGGATAGTGAGTCTTCTGGAACAAAGCTTCTAACTCTTGGAGTTGTTGAGGACTGAACGTGGTGCGATTTCGGCGTTGCCGTCGTCTGCCGAACATGTACTCTGTCAACAGGTCACCCGGAAGAGATGACAGGTAAGGACCTGCCATGGTCGTTATACTGCCCCTGAGGAAGATACTGATTGGAGAATATTGAAGTTGACTGTCTAGGGTAGGATGACCGCCAAGCACATTTCTATCAGAGATGCAAGGTTTTATGCATACCTAGTAAACAGAGACAACAAACAGCTGCGCTTTTCAGATTAAATACGAAAACTGGTATAGCTGGGCCCCGTTATGCAACAAGGACCCCACTGACTTCAGGATAGCTTTATACTCAACTTCTCTATTCATATCGCCCAGATAAAGTAGACGAAGGTTGTCGTAGAATATGCACTGACCTTAAAATCTCTCAACAGCATTCCTTGTACCTTAACCCTGACTAGTCAAATTTTATTATTTCTGGTCCCAAAAAAGTTAGAAATCTTATCAAAGATAGAATAAATATGGTTGTATGTTGTAATGGTGTTGCAATAAATAAGCAAACGAACGTAAAAAAATATTAATATCAGAGTATTACCTGATGAAGACTTGCGTTTCAAGAATGTACAAAGTGTAAACGTTATGGCAGTCATTATTGAAATGGGCAATAGGGGGGGGGGGGGGGCGCAAAACAAGTCAAACAGTTCATATGATCCATGGTCAATAGATTTTTGTCTGAACGGCTTTATAGTTTACAACTTGAAATGCTTTGTATCGACGACAAGTTTTATAATCTAATCTAAAACGTTTTTAAATTGGGTAATTAACAAATAAATGGCATTAAGTGTTTCTAAGTTAAGCCAAAATTTGTAGTCAGTAAGTAAGTTTCATTAAATTAAATATTTAAAGCACACATGACAACAGCGCGTCGGTCTTTCATCACTCTTATCGAACCGGCAATCGATCGCGCAAAGGGTAACAACGGTTAGTTATCGTTTTGCATAGGGCATGTTGTTTTGTTTTTGTTCGCGTACGTCGGCGTCTTTATTTACAATCAGCTCAAATTTATCGCCACAGAGTTCGCCAACGGGTACACCCAGACTGAAGGACATTTATGCAAGTGTACCAAAGACTTCGAGATATAGGAAGTGTTCTGCCCACTAATATTCGTACTCGTGAAAGACGGATTACTGTAGAGCAGGAGGAACAAATTTTAAATATCTTGGAAATCAATGCAGATATCCGCACTCGGGAATTAGGCCGCCGCGTAGGACTATCGCATACCATAGTCCATAGAATCCTACGGGAAAATTTGCTTTATCCCTACCATGTATAACGGGTGCAGGCCTTGTTACCGGAAGACTATCCTCGCAGACTAACATTCTGTCAGTGGTTTTTGCACAAAAACATTGAAAATCCGGATTTTTTTAAAAACATTTTAGCGATGGACGATTGTACTTTTACGCGAGATGGGATATTAAATTTCCATAATACTCATACGCGGGCCTAAGAAAATCCTCATACCATTCGTGAAGGTCATTTCCAACAACGTTTTACAATCAATATTTGGGCAGGTATTCTTGACGATCAGGTAGTTGGCCCTTTCGAGTTAACTCCAAAGTTGTCAGGAGAAGGCTACCTTAGCTTACTAGCCAATAACCTACCAGAACTTTTGGAACAGACCTTACACAACATGCTATTACAACGGAGACAGAATTTGTGGTTTCTTCATGACGGGGCACCACCACACATTTTTAGAGGCATCAGTCAGTATTTGAATGAACATTATCCAAATCGCTGGATCGGTCGAAATGCTCCTGATCCTCGAAAATGGCCAGCAAGATCTCCAGACCTCAATCCAATGGATTTCTGGTATTGGGGATAACTTAAAGGGATGGTTTATGTGGCTGCTCCAATAACAGCTGAAGCACAACTTCGCGAAAAAAAATTTAATGCGGCTGAAATAATAAATGGACAACTTCGAGGACCTAGAGTGAGAAGAAACTGGGTTCGTCGTAATGAAGCTTGTGTGGAAAGTAGAGGACGACATTTTGAACACCTTCTTTAAATACAAAAAAAGTGCAATGTACTTTCACACACCAGGTGAAGCGCTGAGACAGTTAGTGGTAAGTCCGCCTTTTTTAATTGATTGCATTTTACGAGTACATTATCAACTAATGAAATAATACCTAAGATCCAAAAATAACAAACTCCTTCTTAAATATCAATATCAAAACTTTATTGACAGATGCTCTTGTACTACCACATTGCAATTTCTGTGATATTCTTTACAAGAAATTTATAGAAAGCAATAATGTAAAAAGCATTCAAATACTTACGATTCGTTCATGGATTTCGACGTAGAAAAAGTATTTCACATAAGTTAGTCGACACAAACTGACTAAATATGAAAGATAGACGAGAATGCTTTTATCATAAGGTTGTGACCATCGAAACTCCTTCAAATTTATATAGCAAAATTACCCTTCGCCAAGATGTACACAAAGTAAACATAATAATAATAATAATAATAATAATAATAATGTAAAATACGTTTGAATGAGATATGTTATAAAAAAGGGCTCAAGGCATTTAAAAACGATACAAGTTCAGCCCTTTACCTATTACACATTCATATATACTAAGTGACATATAAATCCGAACACCCAGTTTAAATGGTTTTATTTTAATAAAATTTTGTATAAGTACTTAATGAAGCATAATAAGTAAATGATAAAAATTTCAAAATGATTGCACTGCTTTAAAGCCCTTGGACCTTTAATAATGTGTGGATGCACCCTGATGTGCTACGCATTCTCCAACGCGCCTAGGCATGCTGCTGATCAGGTGGTCAATGTCCTCCTGTGGTATCTCATTCCAGGCAACCACCAACTCCTCTCGAACTGCTTCTAGAGTCTGAGGAGGACGTTGCAAATTGAGCAATCTCCTACTCATCATATCCCACACGTGCTCAATTGGGGATAAGTCGGGAGATCTTGGTGGCTATGGTAACAATGTGACCTCATTATGTTGAAAGAAGACTATTGTGACTCTTGCAACATGTGGTCGGGCATTATCTTGTTGGAAAGTTGGATTTGCCAGGGTGTCAAGATAGGGTAAAAGATGGGGTTCTAGAACTTCGTGGATATAACGCTGCGCGTTCATGTTACCTCTGATGAAGATTAAAGGTGACCTGGAACCATAAGCTATAGCACCCCAAACCATAGCTCCAACAGTGTGATGAACATGTCTTTCAACAAAAAACTGTGGATTCCTCCTTTCACCACGTCACCTTCTAACCCTGGCACGACCATCATGCATGCCTAAACAAAATCGAGACTCGTCACTAAAGACAATACTGTTCCATTCCTGATCCCAGAGTGACCGTTGTCTGCACCACTCAAGGCGATTACGTCGGTGTTCTCGAGTTAAAGGGAGGACCCAGTGTGGCCGGTATGAAAACAAGCCAAAACTTCTCATTCATCGGTTAACACTTCGCATGCCAATAGGTCTTTCGTGTTCTGCAAACCATTCATTTGCAATGGACCTGGTAGTGGAGAAACGGTCCCTTAAGGCCAATAATCTTAGGCGGCGATCTTCACGGTCTGTTGTTCTACGGCGGCGTCCAGTGCCCCTTGCCCTTTGCGTACGGCCTTCTCGAAGCCATGCCTGACAACACCTAACCACTTCTTTGCACTCTAACTGCAATTGCCCGAAAAGAAAGTCCAGCTTCCCGAAGTCCACTATACGGCCCCTATCAAACTCACTAAGTTGACGAAATCGTACAGGTCTCCGTACTCTAGGCATCGTAACCTATCGTAAAGGATGTCAAGAACCAAAATCCGCCAACGTTGATTCTTTACTGCGGCTGAAATATTCATTTTTAGAGCGTTAGTGAATTAAAAAAAGCAGTATAAAAACCGGAATGTCCAACTGATAAGGCTGAAAATTTTTTCACTTGTTATTTACAGTAAGATAAATACATTCACCAACTTTTATTAAAATAAAACCATTAAAACTGGATGTTCGGATTTATATGTCACTTAGTATACACACACATAAATGCCTGCACATATATACGAGCCCCTTCCCACTTCAGTTGGCCCACTTTAAGATTTGTAGCAAAATATGCCTTTATAAACTAAAAATGACGAAACTATTTACTTCTACAACAATTTATTTTCTCAAAACCATTTTCGATACACTCTAGTCATAAAAAATACATACTTGAAATCCCTTAGACCTACAACTAATAGAACATCTGAACAAATAAACAATGTACGAATAAATACGCGAAGTTAACAAAGCAACAATTGAAAGATTACCATTGGGTAACATCACCTTTATTTTTTATTACGGCTGAAATTCTTTGGGGCATAAGTGTTAACCAGGTTTTGGAAAAAATTTTTTGTAAAGCAATCCCATATTTCTCGAGGCTTTTGTCTCAGTTCGGTGATTGTACGAGCAGGATGTTGTCGTAGAACATTTTTCATCTCGTGCCACAAAGTTTCAATAGGTGACAGATCTGGACTGCTAGAAACCCATTTCAAAAGTGGTACATTATTTTCTTCCATCCATTTTATAGCCTTTCTTGAGGTATGGCACGCTGCACCATCTTGCTGAAACACAAAATCTTGGCCGGATGTCAAACATTCTTCCATCACTGGTAAAAGCGGTTCTTCTAAAATTGCCAAATATTTGTTTGTATCCACATTTCCATCAATAAAGTGAGGTTTTCCTACTACTTTTGTAGACATACTGCCCCAGAGCATAATGGATGCTGGAAATTTCACTTTTCTCTTCAGACAGTCAACATGGAATGCTACGACTGTCACCAACACAAACTTCGAATCGGGCCTCATCACTCCATTGTATTGCACACCATTGTTGAGGTGTCCATTGTCTATGTTCTTTAGCCCATCTAAGCCGATTTTTCTTTTGCAGTGGAGTTAATAGTGGCTTTTCTTTGGCCTATAAACAAGTTATGCAACTTTAGGGTTTTTACTTCACTTTTTTTTTATAAGAAAACTTGAAAGAGCTAAATCCCAGTTTTGTAGGCCTCTCTATGAGTTGTGGACCTCAAAATTCTCTTTCCAACAGCGTCACTCTACAGAGCACTTAATTGTAAATAATTGGCACGCCTGTTTTTCACGATTATTCTTCTTAATGCTCTTCGGTCGGCATTTGTGATTTTACTTTTTTTCACATATCGTCGCTTGACATTAACTGAACCAGTTACGTTATATCTTCTAACAATATTTCTCACACTGTACGGCGATAAGTCTAACAAAGTTGCAATTTTTGAGTTTGATTTCCCAGAATTCAAAATTTTAATTATCAGTAACCGAACTTTCTCACTAATAACCTTTCCTCTACCCATTTTGAAAACCTTAACCACCCAAAACTATTTTAAACGTATTCTGACAGCTGTGATTAATAAAAACAATTGTCATGGCTTTTATTTTTCACAGCCACCTATGCGTTATAGACTTATTTTGCATTGAAATGAAAATAGGTTGATATGCTGTAATTGCAACATGTGTTATTTTTATGCTGCAAATTTGATTAGGGAGTGATAAAGTTGGTGGTTTCTACTATATATTATCAAAATATTCATTGTTAATATTTTAACCTATAACATCCTGTTACATTTTTATTATTTGTGTTTGATAAGAAAAAAACTAAGATTTCAATAGTTGGGCCAACTGAAGTGGGAAGGGGCTCGTACATATATATACATATATACACATATTTATATACACATATTATACATATATAAAAAGAAAGATCTACCTTAGAAAGCTTTGAATAATAGTTTTAGAATAATAGAGTTATAGTATATATATATTTCTTTTTCATTGGTTTGGTCGCTTGTGCCTCATTTACATCAATGTGCTCTGAAGTGTTTTTCAAAAATAAATTTTTTATATTTGCTTATAAACTGGTTTCGATGCAGAAATTTAAAGTCATTAGGAATTTGATTGTAAAGCCGGTAAATATTGTATGAGAAAGATCTACAAAAAAGAGAAGTTTGATGAGGAGGAGGTGATATGTAGCCCCGAAACCGCAAATTTAAGTTATGAACATTGGCGCGAAAAGTTATTCTATTTATAAATATGGTGGATGCTTAAAAAACATATCTTTGTGAAAAAGATTACATGCATGTAACTCACATCGACATCCCATATTCAACCAGTTTGCATCAAGCAACTTATGTGAAACTCTTTCAAATTTACGTATACCATAAATAATCGTAGGCAGAACTTTTGTACACGTTCAATTCTATTCATGTCAATCTTGTCTAAACTAAACCCATAAACGTTGTTACAAGAATTAATATGGCTGAGTACTAGTACTTCACAAAGCAATATTTTAAGTTTAACAGGGAGGACATATCGATGAGCATATAGAACTTTTAGAGAAGCATAAGCTTTCTGGATCGATTTATTAATATGAGGCTTAAATCTTAGATATGAGTCAAATTTTACTCCCAAATTTCTCACCGTGGCAGAACAAGGTATAGATTCACTTTTTATTTTCACATGAAAAGTAGGCTCAATATTGTCTTTCAATCTGACAAATAACATGAGTTGTGTTTTGCTTGCATTAATCTGTAGGCCATGATTTTCCGAAAATACAACTGATCTTTCAATATCTCGATTAATAATGGCCAATGCATCACGTTTCTCGTTTAGGATTGAAAGAAAAATAAAGCTGAGTATCGTGAGCATACAAATGTACCTGACAACTTCGGAGACATTGGGAAAGGTTTGAGGTATAAAGACTAAAAATGGAGCCTTGTGGAATACCCGATGGGATGACATCTTTGCAGGACATACCTTAATCTGTTTCTACATATTGTGTTCTGTTAGTTAAATAGTGACACATTAGAGATACAGATTCTGCATATAAAAAATACTTAAAAGGCATTCAAAATGATATCGCTAATTCTCCTAATAGTTTCTGGTCGCATATACGCAATAAAAAAGGTCACAACCATCCAGTTTATGAAATGAACTACTATGGCACTACCTACAGCACGCCTGATGAGATAGCAAGTGCGTTTACCAACTTTTTCCAATCAGTATTTTCAAAGAATCCTCATTTGCCTCTGTCAAGTAATTTACCTTCATCCTATACTAATTTTTCCCTAATTAATTTTAACGAAACTGAAGTATAGATACTATATAAGGCGTTGAAAAGAATGAAAAATAAATTGACCAGTGGTCCAGATTGTATCCTATCTTTTTTGCTGAGAGACTGTGCGTCTGTCCTTGCATGCCCATTAACAAAAATATACAATATTATTCTGAAAACTAAAATATATCCCGACGTTTGGCGAAAAGCAAGAATATGTCCAATTTTTAAAAAATGTGACAGAACTGCTATAGAAAACTATAGACCAATTACTTTGGTATGTAACTTCTGCAAAGCTTTGGAGTACTTATTGTACAATTTTATATATGTTAGTGTCAGTAAGAGTATATCTCCTTGTCAGCACGGTTTTATGGAAGGGAGGTCCACAACGACTAACCTAATTTGTTTTTCAGAATCCATTTCTGAATCCCTGGACTCTGGAGTGCAAACCGATGTCATTTATACAGATATTAGTAAAGCATTTGATAGGCTGGACCTTCATCTCCTACTAGCAAAACTTGATAGAATGGGCTTTTCAGATGATTTGTATGCCTTTTGAAATCCTATCTGTCCAACCGTAAGCTGTTTGTGGAATTCAAGAGATCCAAATCTCAAAAGTTTACTCCAACATAAGGTGTTCCACAGGGATCATCGCTAGGACCACTTCTTTTTATCATATTTATCAATGACATTTGTGACGTTATTGATTGCAAATATTTCTTATATGCCGATGATCTTAAAATTTATACTCAGGTTAGCAACAGCACCGATTGCGAACGTCTCCAAGATAATCTCAACAGAATAATAATTTGGTGCGATAATAATAACCTATCCATGAATGCGTCTAAGTGTATCAGCATGACGTATTCCAGAAAACAACGCTCAATAGAATATCATTATAAGGTTAATCAAACAACGCTGCCAAATCTAAGAGAATTCAAAGATCTTGGAGTCACCTTTGACACAACCCTCAGTTTCAATCCGCATATAAATTACCTTCTAAATTCTGTAAATAAAAGTCTGGGTTTTGTATTGCGCAACTCTCGTGATTTTGACAGCATAAATGTTCTACTCATGCTGTATAATGCATTTGTAATGTCAAAACTTGAATACGCTAGAATTATTTGGAATCCCTGCTATGTGACGACTTGTGACTCATTAGAAAAAATACAACGTAAGTTTCTGAAATATCTGTCCTACAGGATAGATGGTATCTATCCAGAAATAGGTGTTCCTCAACATGTATTATTAAAGAGGCACGGTATGCTAAGCTTAGACCACAGAAGAAAAATGAACTCACTAATATTCTTATTCAAGGTTATTCACAACCAATATGATTGTCCGGATATTCTAAGTCGCCTGTCGTTTAATATACCAAGATGTCTCACCCGACACATCCTAACGTTTTATTTACCAACCCGCAGGACCAACTTACTGCTGCATTCTCGGCTATATTCCATGTGTACCTGTTTAAACAATCTACAAAACAGAATTGATATATTTAATACAAATGTGACCTATATTAAGATCCTCTTCAAATCTGTTATATAATTGTGTAGTTTTGTGACTGTTATATTTCTTATGTATATTAATTACTTCAGGTTTGTACTATGTTAACTTCTGTTCTCCCAGCAATAATTGGTTTATCTGTTGGTGGTGTAAATAAATAAATAAATAAATAAGCGTGCTAGCAGATTCGGAACAACCTATATAGTGTAAAATACCAAACATCATTTCATGATTTAGTTTATCAAATGCCTTAGAGTAGTCCAAGAGCACGAGAGCGATGGTTTTTCCGGAATCTGTTGCTTTGAATATGTCGTCATTTATATTTAACAGTGCAGATTCACAGCTGCATCCTTTCCTAAATCCCGATTGATTGTCTGATCCAAAACAACAATCACACCACCAGTTCATCTTTCATTTTCTTTTAATATCTCCAAAACATATAATGCTGTGCATGAATACTTGAAATCCAAATCGCTAGATTCTTTCATAAAATACTACTCTAGCTTTCTGAGATCTTGATATAGTAATGTATCTAAGTGGCTTATTTTTATACTTTGTATAATGATTACATCTATCTCTCATTGTACTCTAATGTTTTCCTTTATATTTTAATTCTGTCATTCCTTTCTGTCTTTTATTCGTATTAAGTTCGTTATGTAGGGTTAAGTATGACCAGCTATTCCCCTAGAAAAAGCTGAACTTCACCTTATTATTGTTATTATTATTATTATTAAATCAATGTATTCATCCGAAAAAACACAGTACTTATACCAACATAACATGAAACCAAATTATTCCTACCAATAATATAGCAGATATTTTGCTTATTGCTGGATATTACTTATTATATTTGGGTTGACATAAAGTCGAAATTTGATATTTCTACGTTTTCTCTGTAGGTTCCTTGTTGCATAACGGGGTCCAGCTATCAATATTCTGTTAACTCACCCTTATGAACGTTGCCGAGATCGGGAATCACAACCACCCACACAATCAACTGCTGGCACACAGCCTTCTATGATTTATTATAATCCTAACGGCGTTAGGCTGTGACTGCGTTGTCGCCAGTGACGAGATTACAGAAATTAAGGGTGGCTCCTCCCCCGGGCGGTCCCATTGGTCGCAGGGATGGCGCCGCGACGCCAGCGTAATGGGATAATGCGTTTATTGGTTGTGCACCTTCAACTGTTTGCAGAGGGTACACGATTCTACCCCGCTGGCGCCGGCGGTGTTAGGGGTAGGCATTGTTTTGGGGGCTTGTTAATGCATAGAAAGAAGCGCGGATTACTAGAACTGAGGATACAATCTGAGTATCTAATAGCCTTAGGTATAGAGGGTTGTATAAGCATATGTATGGAGCAGAGCCATTACAAAAGATTTGGGGTTTTCGGTCCAGAAAATATCTCGGATTTCAAGTTGAGTGCTTCTGGATAATTTTGATTTAATTAACTTAGACTAAACTTTCATCAACCTTTTCTTTATTTAGCCACGCAATGCTTTTTATAGGTTCGAAGTGCACAGTTTTGCCATTTTGGTCAAAATTCACCTAAGTATTTTCGGATATGTAACTTTTAATTATTATGAGGAAGCGTTATCGCAACATTTTTTACTTCAAATCTGTAATGAGACACACTAAGACAAAAAACTTATATAAACATGAAAGTGTTGCTCCACTAAGCTCACATTTCTTTTATACCGAAGCAGCCGAGTAGTCAGAAGCCTAAATACCAGGGCACCGCAGTTGCTATGAGGAGAAACATTGTTAACCGCCTTTTGCCAAACTAAGGTTAGGATAACTGTAAAAAGTCTCCTCAGGTAGATTGTTCCACAATCTCGATACCCTAGGACAAAGGAGCGGTCATATCGGCCAGTTCTAGACTTCAGAAGTTCGACATGGTTAGAACAGGTGGCCGAAGTCGCGCGGCAATAACATGAAGAAGAGCTCTGAGGAGCAAAGCCCTTTGCATAGAAGAGAATTAAATCGTCGACGGCCTGTTGGTACGAAAGATAATGTAGTCGGAGCGGCAGCACCCCAAACAAGGGAGCAGTACTGGAGGATAGGTCTTATCTGGGCCTTGTATGGCCTTGTAGATATGTGTTCGTGGCAGATCAAGTCCTCGGCGATCTAGACAACAAATGTTGAAACAAAAAACAAATCAATACACACATATAATATGACTTTAAATTTTGTTTTTAATGTGAGCGCAGTAGAGCAACATAGAGCTTTATATACTAAGTGACATATAAATCCGAACACCCTGTTTAAATGGGTTTATTTTAATAAAATTTTGTATAAGTACTTAATGAAGCATAATAAGTAAATGATAAAAATTTCAAAATGATTGCACTGCTTTAAAGCCCTTTGACCTTTAATAATGTGTGGATGCACCCTGATGTGCTACGCATTCTCCAACGCGCCTATGCATGCTTCTGATCAGGTGGTCAATGTCCTCCTGTGGTATCTCATTCCAGGCAACCACCAACTCCTCTCGAAGTGCTTCTAGAGTCTGAGGAGGACGTTGCAAATTGAGCAATCTCCTACCCATCATATCCCACACGTGCTCAATTGGGGATAAGTCGGGAGATCTTGGTGGCCATGGTAACAATGTGACATCATTATGTTGAAAGAAGTCTATTGTGACTCTTGCAACATGTGGTCGGGCATTATCTTGTTGGAAAGTTGGATCTGCCAGGGTGTCAAGATAGGGTAAAAGATGGGGTTTTAGAACTTCGTGGATATAACGCTGCGCGTTAATGTTAAGGTGACCTGGAACCATAAGCTATAGCACCCCAAACCATAACTCCAACAGTGTGATGAACATGTCTTTCAACAAAAAACTGTGGATTCCTCCTTTCACCACGTCGCCTTCTAACCCTGGCACGACCATCGTGCATGCCTAAACAAAATCGAGACTCGTCACTAAAGACAATACTGTTCCATTCCTGATCCCAGAGTGACCATTGTCTGCACAACTCAAGGCGATTACGTCGGTGTTCTCGAGTTAAAGGGAGGACCCAGTGTGGCTGGTATGAAAACAAGCCGAAACTTCTCATTCGTCGGTAAACACCTCGCATGCCAATAGGTCTTCCGTGTTCTGCAAACCATTCATTTGCAATGGACCTGGTAGTGGAGAAACGGTCCCTTAAGGCCAATAATCTTAGGCGGCGATCTTCACGGTCTGTTGTTCTACGGCGGCGTCCAGTGCCCCTTGCTCTTTGCGTACGTCCTTCTCGAAGCCATGCCTGACAACACCTAACCACAGTGTCTACACTTTGCACTCTAACTGCAATTGCCCGAAAAGAAAGTCCAGCTTCTCGAAGTCCCACTATACGGCCCCTATCAAACTCACTAAGTTGACGAAATCGTACAGGTCTCCGTACTCTAGGCATCGTAACCGATCGTAAAGGATGTCAAGAACCAAAATCCGCCAACGTTGATTCTTTACTGCGGCTGAAATATTCATTTTTTGAGCGTTAGTGAATTAAAAAAAAGCAGTATAAAAACCGGAATGTCCAACTGATAAGGCTGAAAATTTTCTCACTTGTTATTTACAGTAAGATAAATACATTCACCAACTTTTATTAAAATAAAACCATTTAAACTGGGTGTTCGGATTTATATGTCACTTAGTATATGCTGTGGGATATCATGACACTTTTTGATAATGGGTTGACGAAATTCATCCAAACTTTCAGGTTCGGGAGTAAACGCAATAGATTTCAAATTAAGATAAATACAGATTTTTCTAATTTTATTGAAAACGAATCGACCGATTTAAAAAAAATCAAACGTAAAGATGAAGGGCTTTGAAATACCTTTTAAACGAGCTATTACTCGATACCTCTTGTTATTCAAAATTTGTAAGGGGATGACCCTGGGGGCAGAGGGTGAAAGGGGGTTAAGTAGTTTTTGGTAAAAAAGGTGTTCCCCTTGAACATATCTTTTGACGTGTCTCGGCGTGTTTTCCTTTAATCAGTGATTTTTTATAAATTCTTGGTGGAAAAGTTTTCAAATGTATGTTATAGTATCTCATTAGTTGGGGATTTTGGATTTCAAAAATCAACAAGACCTTAAGCACTTACCAAAATTACATCCCTTGCAAAAAAGAAAAATCTGGGAATCAATCCGATTCAGCCTTTGCTGTCACAACTTAACAGTAAGTGCATGGTTACTACTTTTCAGGGTTGTGCACAATTACACACATTGAAGAGTTTGCGAATGTGGCAGACCAGCAGCGTCGAATGACCTATAGTATTTGATATGTACAGTGCACAGAATCCTATTGATTTTTCATAAATATGAAGATTTTCCATTTCTTTTTAGTAGCAGCCCAGTAAATGATATTTTTTGTTATCTTTCCAGGTATCACAACAAAATCGATTTGACATCTGTTACTTTGTGAAAATGTGCTACATACCAGCCGTATCAATGGTACAGGGCCCCCAGCTCACAGGGGCCCAAAGTAGTAAAAAAGCACGTAGAGCGCTTTTTTTCACAATATCATCCAAGTTCTTAGTCCGTACGCTAAATTAAAGATTCTCAAGCGCCTAACTTTACATTGTACGGCTAGGTAATAGTAGTAAACGTGTTTCATTACCCTTAAAAATATTCAAAAAGTTGTAAATCATACAAAAACAAACTTTGGGACGATCTTAAAGCTAGTTTAATTTTTACTCATACAGGCGCTGTCATTTAAAGGATTTTCAAAACCAACGAGGCGTTGAAGCTGCTCTCGCCGAAAGCCCTGACATATTTGGTGACAATATCCAGAATCCAGTACTTCCCTGCTGGGTGGAAGGCTGCTAAGGTCATCATGATTCCAAAGAAGGTGGGTTCGATATTTCCTCAGGATTACCGTCTCATAAGTGTGCTGTCAGCTCCTTCTAAGCTCGCCGAAAAAGTGATTTATCATCACCTTGAGAATTTTTCGTCAAATCACCATGTGATTCCTGACGTTCAATTCGGTTTTCGGTAAGAGCATAGCACCGAGCTACAGGCAGTCAGGCTGGTGGAACATGTAAACAGAGGGTTCACCCTCAGCATGAGTACTGCCATCTTGCTTTTGGATGTCTCAAAAGCCTTTGACAAAATACTGAAATCCTTTCTTGAAGGAAGGAAGTTTTTGATCAAAATTAATAATGTATTGTCAACAACACGGCCAGTATGGGCCGGTGTTCCTCAGGGTTCAGTCCTAGGACCAATCCTTTATTCGCTTTTTATCCATGATGTCCCTTGCCCCAGCAACTGCGAAGTCTATCTCGACACTGAACTTGTCGCCCAATCGTGTACTGGTGATCTGGTTCATGAGGGGTTGCAGAGTGCGATGGAAGAAGTACTAGAGTGGACGGAACGGTGGCTGATTAAAATTAATCATTCGAAAACGCAGGCTACTTATTATACCAAAAATCGTCGCGGCTCCCCAGCAGAGGTCTCTGTAGACGGCAATCGTGTACCATGGACAAATTCTGCCAAGCACCTCGGTGTCACCCTTGATAAATGCATGACGTGGCAGAAACATATATATCCTTTGTTATGTAGATCCGCCAAATTGAGTTTGATAAACAAAGTTCGCCTATATAAAATAATTATTAAACCAGCCATTAATTATGCAAGTGCGGCTTGGTGTTTTCTTGCCAAGACACATATGCAAAGTCTTCAAGTACTGCAAACTAGATCTTTGCGAACAATTTGCAACGACACACCACACAGAGACCTTGACATTCCTTGCTTGAGGAATTATGTCAAATTTCAGGCGCAGTGACGTTAAAGTCAAACGGAATCGCACAGTAACCCTCTGTTGCGCGACTCAGTGGACTACACAGTGGAGCAAGTTCGTAAACATTCAAGGCCACAGCTCGCACTGTAATAAAAAATTAGCGCGAACTTTTAGTAAACTTAAAATTACACCCAACAAAGCCGAATCAGAATTTGTTTAGTTCACCTCAAAATTAATCCGTGTAAAGTTATATTTTGTCGATGATCCACCTCCTCTGACTGAGAAAACTTTCTGCGGACGCCCATTGTCAGCCCGCAATAATTTACACTATGC